CTGATTTTGCTGGTAACAGCTTTCACACTTCGCCGCCAAGTCATTGTTTGACCCTCTCTGGCTCTCATCCACCCTTCACATGGTTGTGCGGAAAGAGCCCTTCGAGGAAGTCGGTCGACTGGCATACGCAGCACGTGGCCAAGCCAGCGCAACCTATGCAGTGTGATCAGTTCATCTATCGAGGGTGAGTTACTTCTTCCGAATACCATTCGACTTACTTCAGCACCGCTAATCCGGTGTTCCCACCAGATTCGAGCAATGTTCCGAAGACATCGATGGTCAAACACTGAAAGTCTTTTGACCTCCTCGGCGCGCAGCGGCCAGGTTTCTGATCCATATAGTAATATGGAGCGCACCGCAGCATTGCAAACTCGACCATTGACAGAGAAGTTGATGTCGCGCCTACGCCACAGGTGACGTAGGTTCACGAAAGCTGCTCTGGCCTTCCCAATTCGGATGGAACTATCATCTTTTGCGAGACCGCCGGGACTGATACAGCTGCCCAGGTAAACAAATTTGTCTACTACCTCAATCGGTTCATCCGCAAGCATGAGGCTAGGGCTCGAGCCCACCCAATCTTGTAGTAGCACTTTACACCTTGTAGGTGTGAAGCGCATACCGAACCGCGAGGCAGAATTATTTAGATTATTTAATATTGTTTGCACATTATTTAATATTGTTTACAGATCGGATGGTAGCAACGATAAACTCTGTATACAAGTATCGAACCGAATCGTGATGAGCCATATATTCAGACTATGATCGATTTTACTTCTGTTGCTCAAGTAGACCGAAATTCCATTTTGGCCGTTCAATGGAGCGTAGAAAACCAAGAAATGAAAACGTAGGTTTTCAGTGACCGGTTAGTGAACGTCAAGTATATGAGCCGACTGATCAGCACGGAAGCTTAATAGAGTGAACATTTACAAGTACGTAGAATAAGTTTGAATTCAGGACTCGACGGTTCGAGTCAGAAGTACCTTCATTTTGGCGGTAGACTTTCTAAAACAGACAATTTTCTCCGTTTTGACCGTCCTCTCTCCCTCATTCTGTGCGGTATTCACGTGCACTTTTTTGATAACCTAGCCTAACGTATACGCGTCCTAAGTAAGCCATATTTGGTTGTAAGCGAGAACAGTTCGGCAGATTCTAACGATAAATTTGATCACCCACATAATTTGTGATCGGAGCATGCCAGTGGTCGCTACTGCGCCCCTGAATTCCTTAGTTGACAGTCGCTATTTAGTCACCCTCTTTTGGGGAGTAGACAACGAAACGTGATTCGATTACGAGTAACTAAAGGAACTCTCCAAAGATGAAACAGCCTCTTCTTGTTACGTGTGTACGTTCGGTGGATGGCGCGCGTTCAAAGCTCGAATGTGTTCATTTGTATAGGGGACGGTAAAAACTAGAGGCCTCAATAGTGCTTCGGACGCTACATAATGTATATGTTTCCCATAGTGAGCTACGTTTGGTATCTCATTTGGGATTGTCTGCATCCTTCAAAGTGAGGCTTCAAGTGTCAAAGTGGAAAAAGGCAGTAAGAATAACAGAGTTGTGGGACGAATTCATTGTGCACACTCTCTGCCACAAAACATCTACCGCAGCATAAGATACGTAATACACTTCACCCTATGCCATTTATGTAGGTCGAAAACAGTGCGACTAAATCAACGCAGTCTTCGAGTGACCCTTAGGCTTTTTTGAGCACTGGACAAACTAATTGATCAATTTGGCCTCAAGGAATTTCATTAGCTGTATACAGCTGACCAAGGAAACAAATTCATTTACCAAGTCGATTGGTTCATCTACAAGCATTAGGTTTAGGTTGGATCTTTGCAGCTGTGAAGCGCATTCGAAACCGTGCGGCAAGATTATCTAGGTTATTTAAAATCGTCTGCATTTGGGAAGGATCTGAACCAAGGTGTGCGCTATCTTCCGCATACTCACCGTCTGTGAGGGAACGTTCAGGGAGCATTTGGTCTCTCGAGGTTTCAGAGACAGGCAGAGAGATTTCAGGCAGCATATCAGTACTGACAACACCGCCCACCAATGGTGCGCTTTTGAAGATCGGGAGCGCCTTTGCGCCATGTTTTGAAACGATGTCCAGTTAGGTAGATCACCGAACCTCTTCGTTAAAGGATACTGTAATTACGTCAAGCCAGACAATTCACACTGTAGTCTACGGGCTCGTCAACGTTTATTCTCTCTTCTTCGATCAACCAATCCAACGCAAGTCACTTTAGCTTCCTCGCCCTTCTACCTGACCACACTTTGGCGATTGAGTGGAAATGTTGGCGCAGTGCGATCAAGTGGGTTGGCCGGATCTGACAAAAATACACGATCTCTTCTTCCTTTTTTGCGTTATGTGAGGCTGTTCGTTTTGAGGAGCTTGTGATTTCGTCAGTGACATGTATATTCATAATTTCATTCGTCAATCAATGATTCCGGTCTTTTATCTCTTCCCGGAACGTCGTTCCGTACTCGTTCCTCGAAGTGAGACCAGTTGTAGATGCTTAAATCCGTATGTTCAGTAGTGGAGTAATATATTGGGAGTATATCTGTAAATTCACTGACTTTTCTCGGTGAAACACATACAGAGATTGGGTTATTTTTCGGTCCTTCTACGCACTGAAAAGCATCATTATGAGTTTGTATTTCTTTTGGGCCATAAATTTGGGTCTATTCTGGACCTTAAATGCTCAACTCCTGTTTTTGCTCGTTAAATGCCACACAGTGGCCAAATAATCCGTTCTCAAGCGTAACTTAATCCACGGAGCAAATGGAGCCAAAGAACGAAACGCCTTGGAATCATTGCGGGCGTGCTCGCCCAATAAGGAGCTCAGTAGTCAATTTCCACCACGCCGAGAGCCGTGTGGCTTTTGATCACCATAAACCGAAGGAGGACGACGTACGAGTTTTTGTGAACATTTAACACAGGATCGGCAAGCCGCTACGTAGGTCTATTTTGAGATAAATCGCTTAAGCAAAGCGCAATTTCCAAAGGACATAGGTAGGATGGGATGAGATTACTCATAATCCTGTTGTGAATAGCCAATGGCCAATCCATTGGGTGAAATCAAACATTTGGGCGAACCATTAGCATCATGGGGTGATTGCTCCTATCCCTACAAACCATGTTGATCAACGGCGTTCCTTGAGTTGTGGCTCCCCTGTCCCTTGACAAAAGTAAATGTGGTTGGCCCTGAAAAGTAGTCGACGAAGTAGTAGCCTGACTCCGTCGGACTGGCGATTGCGATGCCGATTGCGAAACCGTACGGCTTTTGGTGTAATTTCTGTTAGTTCTTTATTAGTCCTGCTTTTCGCACCTACCCCACAAGTGGCCATTTTGGGAGCTAAGAGGCAGACTCCTTTAAAGCTGATTGCAGTTCATCTATGTCCCGTAACTTGTGAATCCGTCTAACTACCTTTTCTTGTGCATTTAGGATGTGTTGACTGCTCTAATTTTTCGGTACCTTTTCTCTCATGTATTTTTCGCTTACATTTACATGGCGTGACTTTTTCCGATACCCTAATTGGAATAAATTACCTCAGGCCAAAATCGGGTTTGAATTGTTGCTTGGCACGCAGACAAGACCGAAGCAACATCTAATTATCGAAAAACAAATGTTTCCCCAACAGGTGGGGAGCAGTTCCCTGTTATTTTTGTTCTAATCCGTTTTCGCGAATTGAATTACTTATTGCGTTGATCATTCTGAGCTGGGTGGTTTTTTTCCTGGTGACTGTTGTTTGCATGCTAGAGGAAATTTCCAACTCTCTACCATCTTTGGACTGAACACAAATCAGAACGACGGGTGTGGTTGATTCGTTTTTACCTCATCCATGTCTCTATTTTCTGCTCCCTTTTTTCAGTCACTGTTGTTGTCTAAATTTCATTGAGATTTCGAATGGCAAATGTAACCGGTTCGGGAAACTCAACCCACGCCTGCTGTCCTCTACTATCGTGTAAATTCCAGACTTATTAGTCCGGTTCTAGTGATCGTGAGCAGTTTGGGGAGTAACCACAAAACCTTCATAATGAATCGGGTTTTCCGACGTATCTGGGTTGTAGGCTAGACCGAGATGCGTTTATTTCACACCAGGATCTTCGAATGGTCCGTTAGTGTCTTTTCCAGGATTCAGTGAAAAGGATTTTTGTTTACACTTCCTGCTGACAGAAGTTCTGTCGTACAACCTTCCAANTACAACCTTCAACGATGTCCGCTACAACCAAACAAATGGACAGAATTCGCCACATGATATGATTGTCTGTAATTTTTTACATTAACAGGGTAATATCCAATCGCTTTGGTTTTTTGTGGATAGTTTTGTCCTGCACCGTTACTTTTTTGGTGTTCACTGTTGGTCGATCTTTTGATCTGTCTCGTTCGGGGAATTTTTCTGTTCCTGCCTGAATCAGTCCCTTGAATTTAAATTATGTATTAACCGTACCCAAGAAGGAGATAATGAGCACTCACGTGTCGAATTCTGGGTCCGGTTTGATTTCACGTCCAGATTATTCTAACGTTTGTTTGACAATGTTTTGCAATTTTATCAGCCGTTTCATAATCCGTCACATATAATAATAGCCTTAAATACTACCACTGTTTAGGCGAACTCTCTTGGGACTGTCGATATTTCACACGCCTTATTCGCATCAGCTCTTTTCATCAGATCTTTCCTAACCCAGCCATTGTCAATTGAATATCGGAATCTCGTTACTTCATGCAGCCGGTGCATGTGTACTAGACCGAATCGAGATGGAGGAAACCGTCTGCTTTGGAAATTGAATGTACAACGGTTTCCTACGTCACTGGATGGGTGGCTTTCAGTATTCTTATCACCAGTAAGATGATTGGATGTTTGGAGCTCTACGTACCTTAATCGATGGTTTGGAGTTTTAATTTAATTCGGGTTTTTATGGGGATTCTGAGGGCGGAGGTCTTCCAGACTCCGGGCCAAACAAGAAACGTTAACGTTTGAACATTTATGCTTTGCAGGTACGCGCTATCGCCGACGGGGAATCGACCCTGAAGGGCACGTTGCTAACTACGTCGAGACGGAGCAAGTAAGTCTAACCAATTTTTCATTAACTTACACTAGGCACCATATTTAGTTTGTGATTTTCTGCAGAGGGTCCAATATCGGGAGTTACTTTCGAGTAGTGTTTCTGTAAGGGGCGAGATGGCTCAGTGGTCAGAACGCGAGTTTACTGACCGAAAGGCCCCTTGTTCGAATCAACCTTTGCTCCAGAGACTTCTATCTAGGCTTGGGCAACTTGGCAGTATCCCAGTCTTCGTACTTCCTTCTGGTGACATTACAGTTAGGCACCGAAAGGGTGCTACAGGTGATATATGATATGATGAGTGTTTCTGTGAAACTGATCTGGCATTGTCACTTCAGTTACTCTGTATGTTCGGGCAATTGTTCAGCTAAAGTGAGCACGTGCTCGCTTTCGGTGAGTTGCAGCCAGTGGAAGAGTCACGATAGCGAAGATGTTATCAATGGTATACCTCTTATCCTACTTCCTTGCTCTGGCACTACGTGAGCGTTTGTCTACCGTAAGTATCCGAGGAGGAAACATCTTCGGTAAATTCCAAAACCTGATGTCATTGACACTGGTTGGTCCTTCCGCGGGAGGTATTCACACGAAGGGTATGTTGCCCATTGGGACTTGAGCAGCCCAAACTGAGTCATTTATCTCTTCGAAGAGGATAGTTATAAGCTGCGTGTATTTTTCAGCTGTGCTAAACTTCGTACGCATTGGTTATAGACTTCAGAATCCCAGTTTTAAATCAGACGTGGAAGCCTGAGACTGGCGCTCTTCACTGTTTCTTTATTATTCGTCCATCTATCTTATTCAGTCGGCTATACAGCAGATGAGCGGATTTCGCCGGACACCACCGCGGATTCCACACACTCCATAACATCGACTTTCTACATGCAATTACTATTTCCCCCATAATCCAGGTAGATGCTTCACTTACTCAGTGTCAACAACGCCTCAATTTTCGCTCCATTCATCTGCTCTTAGCTATCCGATTAGTAGTGGTCAGTCCGCTTGGCTTTTTGTTTCATCCGTTGCAAGGAGGTGAAATTCCCAGTACTCTTTATCTCCGATAGTTGCTTATCAACACCCTGTCCGATCCGATCGGTATGTTCCGTATTAGTGACAACTGGTAGTTAATGGTATTATTTTCTCCATGGGAACGAACGATCATCAGACACAGAACTGTCATTCGTAGTCTGTGCCGTTAGCTCATGCTTGCAGTTCAGTGGTTTGTGAACAGTTATTCTCTGAAGGTGGAGTCTGTGTGGCATTTGTGACGTTGGTTGTTTTTCTGGAAGGAACGGAACCACGGTGTATACTCCGTTGGCGTAAAACAGTTCATAACGACTCGCGACACGTTCATTCGTAAATGAATTCGATCCTAACCCGCATTAGATACGAGATTTAATTGGGAGTCAATCGAATCTCCCTTCAAAACCAAATTGGTTTGCAAATGGGTTTATTGAGCGAATTGCATCCAATTAGGGTTCAAGACCATGAAGTTGACGGAACTCGTGGACTATGGATACCGGATTAGCCCCAAGAAGTGCGAAACCGGTCATGGGCTGTCGAAGACATTTCAAAAACCTTGTGAGTAGCGTTCCTTCAAGTTCATATGTGCAGCTATAGATTGAAGTTCGTAGAACAATAACTCCAAATACAGGGAGTATCATCGCTGTCTTACTTTTTCTCATTTTGGTGGCAACACGTTCTATGCAGGTTTATTTTGGGTAGTTTTTTTCTGGAGAGAAAGGTTTTTTGTAGTTACACCTCTGTCAACCACAACGACTCATGGTCGGTAACACCGGAAGCAGTGGGGTGTAAGTGGCTCCTGCAAACTTGCATGCCGCCTAATGAAAATACCTGGTCCGTACAAACTATTCCTTTTCGGTTTTGTGCGGTTATTCTAACGGCAATACCCATCTAGTCTGTTTTGGAAGTAACTTTGGATGAAACTTTTACACCGATGAAGTTACATACCTCGTCTATCTTGCCGGCTTCTTGAGACAGTTTCCGAGTGAGTATTGGATGGTGAATCACTGGAATAAGGGTTATCAAGTTATGGTGGTCGTAGGACGTGTTAAGCTCCCCAGACCACCATCTTCCAAAGAAAGTCTCGTTTTCTGCTCTAAACCCTTGGGGGAATGAGAGAGGGGACTGTGCCTACTTGGTAAGCCCCAAGAGTGCGGAATCGGTTGCGGGCTGTAGAAGGGGTCTCAACAATGGAACGGCAATTCACTTACAAAATAGTCGTCATGACCGTTGGGGTTAATACTTGGAATAACGGTTCAGCTGGTCTCCAACACAACCTCTGGGGGAGCCCAGAGGGCCGTAATGGAACATCGACACCAGCCTACCATCAATAACAGAAATCCAGCATGAAGTCTCAATCCTCAAGTACGACAAGACGCCTGGCGCTGATGGTTGGTACCTCTCATTCTTCAAAGAAAGTGACGTGGTCCTGGTTAACAATCTAACGTCATACTGCAGAAGATTTGGAACGAAAACAGAATACCAGCCGAATGGACCTCCTCGACCTTCATTCCAGTTTTCGAGAAGGGCGCATCAGCCCTCTGGCATTGTTTTGCGTTGGTTGATCGATCATCGAGAGAGACGTTTTCGTGAAAGCCAAGCTCGGTTTCGTCCTGGCCGAGGATGCGTCGACCATATCTTTACTTTGAGACAAGTTCTTGAACAGCGCCACTCTTTTAAATGTCGTACGTTGGTCGTTTTTCTTGATCTAACATTTGCTTTTGGCTCTGTCGATCGTGGGAAACTGGTGGCGTCTGGCGATCGAAAATGTGCAAATATATATCCCTTATGAAAGCACCGTATGCCAATTCCTGTGGGTGCGTACGAGTATACGCCTGAGTTCACCAAGGCAAGGCTGCCCTCTCTCGGGACAGTATACGACGGCAACGAAATACGAAAATACTAACGAGTAAACTTAATCGTGTCACCGCCCTCTTGGATTGGAGCCCCCGGATTCACCTCAGTAATGGTTAGTGACACTGGCAAAAATGGCCCAATCGTGTATTCAATGGTGCTCATGCATCAGGGTTATTGCCTTCATTGTGTAGCCACCCCGTTCCATAACTAATGAGATGTGCCACCTCCTCCAGAGGTTGGCTGTATGACCCCCACTCTTCCATTTTCCGGTGATCTAAACTCTACCAGCTAGAACCACTGTGAGAATGGTACACGGTTTATAGCTGATAAATTGGTTGATCTGCTACCATTTCAGAATATTCTGTAACCGTTTTTGCGGATGTAGGCTCACGAGATTAGAGCCTAGAATTAAATCAATGCGATTTATCAGAGTTTATTCACGTGTTTTGCATATCAGGATGAATGCTGCGCGGCCTCACTCCAATCGGACTTAGTAGCACGGGCTTTTGTCCTTTGGGATGACCTGATTGAGTGACCGCCCTACAGACTCATCATCTTGATGTACTGGTCTCAGTTACATATAATAAAAGCGTTCATCCTAATATCAAAAGGTTGTATGAAATATTTCTGGAATTTGCAATTTTCCTGACCACATAAAAGTGCGCAGGTGTCAGTTCGTATTATACGTTCTTTTCGAGCGGAAACAATCGTACAATAGAGGCATGTTTTTCTACTTCTCGATAACTTAGAGTTGTAGAAATCAAGATTCTCGTTATTTTTAGGATACACCTGTTGCCTTGGTTCGGTGGTTATCGGAATGTATTCACACTTTCACTCTCGGTTGATTATTGTTACACAGGCATATAATTTGACTTCGTGTCGATTGCTTCGATAGTGTCATGTGTTTTGTTTGCTATTTGATGAGTGGGCTTCCACTACCCGTTTGAAAGAGAAAGGCTAACTGGAGGTTAGATTGATCATAAGTTTACGTCCCAAGTCAGAGACTCAATCCTGTTCTATGGTTGCTACACGCGATTGGCATTTGTAGTCGGACGAAATTTTATCTGCTGACTGACGTTGGATTGGATCGCTCAGTTCAATTTGACAATCATGAAAGCCATCTGTCACGTAGTACATTTTCTACGGCTTATGTCTGATCTTTTATTGCTGAAGGAAAACATGATGGTTGGTGACCGTAGTTAACTGACTTTCAAGTCACGATATGTGTGCATCTTCCCTTAAAATATGGGAGTAAAGTTTTTCCTATTTAAGGTATGGAGTTTTTTAAGTTCACTTAGTTCAAATCGTGGGGAAATATAACTCACGTAGCTGTAAACCTTTCTTTTAGTTTTCTCAAAAACAGAACATAACATGGGTTTCATAAAGCTGTCTCACTAATAAAACGTCGAAAAAAACACTTGGGAAGATTCGAAGTGGATAAGATTGGTCCTAAACTAGTGTCGGTACGCAGTTCATCCACTGGAATAGCTTTAGTTTTTCCACTGCTCTGTTGTTCCAGGACACGTAGAAGCTTCTGCGTATGTGGACAGCGGTGATCGATTGCCCATATTACGTTACTCGTCTTCCTTATCCCGATTTTATTTGGTGAACTCATTAGGGAATCGGACAGTGGTAGCGCTGTTTGGTTGTTGTGGCGTTGTATGGACATAATGGTCTAACAGGTGGTTTCGACAGGTATCTATTCGTTCTCGTGTCCGTCAATTTTGATTGTATATAGATGGCTTGACCAGAATATCGACACGGCGAACCCACGTATTTCCACCTGTTTCACACAGCTTGGTTTTCCCTGTGCGATCTCCGCGAGATTTGAAGTCAAAATCGGCATCGGCATAATGCGTGTTTTCCTACTACCGGCACCCTACCCCCCACATGTCAAACCCCGACGGAACCGGTCGTCCTAGGGGTGGAGGAATCCTGTTTAAGCTACTTTAGCCGTGAGATAAAAGGTATCCTTATGTGGCATTCACGTCCAGCTTAAGTCTAACTGGGGACAAATTAACTGCAACTGCTGCTTCAGGAATCATAGTAACAGTGTCCTAAAACATTAAATGAGCCAATCGAATTAGCTTATTGTATTGGTGTGCCTGTTGTATGTAGGCACCATACAGATGAATTTCACTTTAGCCAGTTAGACTTTGTCTCTTCTGTTAGATAAGCTTGAAAACAGTATGTCGTGAATCTCTTGAGTGTTTTACATTGCTCACCATTCTCATTTCATTTCTACGCTATTAGATCATCCAAACTCACGAAATCCATAATTCGCATACCGCAGCATTTCTCCAGGTTCGTGGTTCAGTACCGGTGTTTTGGAGTCAAACGAGTTTGAAGTATCATCCTCCGATCAACCTGGAAAAGGGTAAGATTTACTCAGTTGCTCCATTTCCGGAATCTTACTGAGGGATTTCTTTCTTGGCCGTTTTTTGTACGATTTTGTTCAACATGAAAATACTTCCTGTTTTGTTATACTGGTGGGATTAGCCTTTTCAAATCTTTCCTGGGTCGGTGGGAACATCGGACTAGTCCACAAAGTGCTTCGCAATAGGTGACCAGGTGAAGTTCACTGTACCATACATTTCGCGTTTCAGAAGACGGGAAAACGTCAGATTAGCACCCAAAATGCTCTAACCGCTGTAAATTTTTTGCGATAGCCTTGTTTCGAGTAGTGCATTGGTGTATTTTCAAATTAAATGACTGCTACGTTTTGAATGGTTCAGTGGTCAGAGCGCGAATTTACAGACTGGGAAGGTCCGTGTTTCGAACCCGATCTTTGCATCTCGACTTCCCCTGTCTAGACTTGGTCATCCTAGGTCTGGTGCTTCCTTCGGGATGCATGGTAGCTAGGCACCGAAAGGATGCTACAGCTGAACACGTTATGGATATGATGGCTGGTAGATTTCCGCACAACTACACGGTATACGGATTGACTCTCCGTACGGCTCGTTGCGCGACCACTCAGTACTGTCGTAAATTGCCATGTCAAGAAAACTCGCCTAGAATAATAGTCATTCATGTTCATGGAAACAGGCAAATTGATCCTGATATTCGTCGTGCTGATTTCCTAAGCTTCACCGTTGGTTTCAGAATCCCATCAGAGTTGTAGATTAGGCCTCAGGGTGGTTTTGTGCGCTTGCTCCACGCCACTATCCTGGTCGTAGTTTGAGGGTAGACGAATAATTTACATAAGGACATTTGTAATTATCCCACCACCGATGGAGAAACAAGTCGGTTTCCGCTCTTGGCTGTAGATTCCTCGTTTGTAAAATATAAAATGTGCAGTGGAATTCGTTTTCCGCCATTGCGATTAGTGGAAGTATGATTCGCAGAGCAAAGCTCACCACTATTGATTGTATCGTTTTCTGTGGCAGAGTAATTCAATCACACCTGACGCATCCGGAATGTAGCATTTCTGAATGAGCAGTCTGATTCATGCTGTGGTGGTCAGCCCCGGATGCATTGTTTTCATCTCAGCTCCATCAAGATGACCTAATAAAATGACAAGAGTTCCGCAAGGGGAGTCCGTCCACATCCGTACCGATCCGTTTGGCGTTTGTACGTCTGTATTTGTTTATCTCAGTAATGTTTGATGAACAGGCAACTAGGACATTTAACATATTGGAGGAAAAACATCCGTGAGTCCAGTGCACTATTTTGCGTGTTGGTTTTTTCCGGAAAAGACGGGAAGTCAGCTCACTCGTCAGAATGAAACGTCATTTGATTCATGAGCCACTCCTCAAGTCCGGCAACGCACTCCTCTGGTGCGTTGAATGTCATTTGATGTATTTGTACGACAGACTGAATCCGCAGGCCAGTGATAGTATGTAAAAAAACCTGTGCTGCATATTCATAACATGGATCCTCAGCAAGCGAAACTTTTGGTTGGCGAGTTTCAGAACGTGTAACGTGATTGTCTGGGGCGCCTTTAGTTTCCGTTTGCTGTTTGTTTTGTAAACCATAGAAAAACTTGGTTTGATATGCTTGGCGGAAAGGCTATTTTGTTGAATTAATCGTTCACTTGCAAAATGCGATATTATAGGCATAAGACTCAAAATAATCAATCTATGATGTTTCCACCAGCCGACTGTGATGAAACGGCTACCTCGTAGTTCACAGGGCTGGGTTAGTTGTACTAACAGCCAACCTGATGGTCCCTACACTAGACCTAGTTGTTAATATTATCTCACTGAATTTTAATTAGTTTCTCGCATGGGCACACTACTCTCCTTTTATTACAGCCTCAGGAATTCCATTATATATTGGGATCAGTAGCCAAAAACTGATGGTTACCTTACACAGCTCCATGGTCTTACTTTAGCGGGTTGTTACAGGGAGGGTCACTATCCAGATTCAGTATAACACATTGATTATTACCCTGAATAAACCCGGGCAATCCTATGTGCTGTAGTTTTGGTTGATATACTGGGGGTTTGTTCGGGGCTCTTGTTGCTAGGGTTCTTTCAGAAAGTTATTTGTCCCATTAAGGACGGGATGGGATTCAGTTATTGCCTACATAATCAGCCCTATGCAGGTTGGAAACGGTGACAGATCATTGGTGGTAGTCTTATACACAGCGTGGTACTTGTGGGTAAACGATCTCTTCTTATTAGTTTGATCTCAGGTTGGGATGTTGGTCCCGAACCGATATCACCTCGTTTGTTTTCGAAACGTGTTCAGCGTGCGAACCAAAAACTCTTCCAAATACACATCCGTGTAAACAGGTCAGTGGGCCACTGTGGCACTGGTTGGCGGATAGCTTGGCATCAGGTGCACCCCTACCGGCACAGCTATTGCCAGTCCTGGAGCGGTCATCACATTTTCAACCGCTTTTTACTATCCAGGCATTGCTTATTATAGCCTTTCTGTTGAGATTTTTCATAACTTAGCTTTCAGCCTGTATTTTTAAGGGGCGAATTCACGAAATTGGTTCACACGTCGAACATCCTACAGATACCAAACTCGCGTGAAACAGTAATCCGAGTCCACACACTACAAACAAATGGATTTATGCTTTTGAGCAGGGATGCCTTTGTGGGGATATCTTGCAGGTAAAAACAGGTTTGATGATCTTTATTAGTGTATCTTCGAGGGAGGGCTGTTTTAACGTCCGGAGGAGTGATGGTGCATAGACGAGAGATTCAGACGAGTCTCCCGTGGAAAGCAAATCGATATGTCAAAATTCACTTAATTCTGGTTCAGGTAGGTTGACCGAAACTCGCCTACCTAATGAGCCCCAAGAAGGACCAAAGCGGTGACAGGCTGTCAAAGGGCTTTTGGCAACCTTGTGAGCAGTTTTCCCCATAAAAATATACTGCGACATGTTGAATATAGTAACAACTGAAAAATGAGACGGCCTATGTGCAGCAAATTCATTTGAGGGGCATCATTAACGAGAGATTCAGGTGAGTCTCAAGTGAGAGTTAAATTGATATGCAAGGTTGAGTGTTTCACTCAAACACGTGATACCATGCCACCCTCAGTTGATTGTCTGAAACGTGTCGCGCTTAGGTTATCCAGTCGTTTAAATTAAAGGGAGCGGACTTTCTGTGAAACACTGGGCAAGATTTGACAAGCGTAAAGTTTTATTTCCCCGGGAAAGGCAATGAAACTTTTTGTTTCCAGACTGTTGGGCGCTGATACAGTGTATTAGTTTAGTTTTCTGGTTTAGTTTAGTTTTCCAATTGATCCTACCTGATCCGCAAGTGTAAAGTTGATTGCTACCCAGTTAATTTGAGTCGATTCACTTAGAGTGGTTTCGTTAAGCTTTTCTTGGTCGGAGTAACAGCAAAATATACAACCATTGGTCTTCCTACGGAGAGACCAGCCTTCTAAAGAGACCTCTTTTGTCCTGTACTTTCAAATCAAGAACAAGTGTATTATTATAAATTCCATCGCTGTTGCTGTTGTTTTTATTATCATGTGGGAAAGCCCATTTGAGTTATCCTGTAATGAGAATGCAATCTGTTATCTTTTCAGTATACCTTTCGGTATTAACCCGACCAAGAAATTGTGGTGTGGTTCACGACGGTCACTTTTAGTACCTATTGACGGCTGTATCTGATGTACATCTTTGCTTTGAGTCACTTCGAGGTATTTATATCTTTTTGGAACTCTTGGACGGCTCTCGTTTTTCCAGAAGGCTTACGCGATCTGTCCTACATTTCTACGCGTCCCGGTACATTTTTTGAGTATGATATCAATATTGTTGTTCAATCTCGCCCGTTATTTGAACGGAAAGTTGCTGAGTCCATTTCGTATTCGATAGTTATTTTGTGGTCAACACAATGAGAAGTCGTACCTACGATCGTTTGCTTATCCACAATCACAATATAGTCTTCTGTAATTGGTTGGGAAAATCAGAATTTTAATCGATTTCTCCCCGCAGGGTTAGTTTCTGGAGAATGGATGCGTAAGGTCTCCGTACTTGTGGATAATTTATTCAAAAAAACGGGGGGAATTATTCCTTTTTTCGTATACTTGGGAATCCATCTGGTCCAGTAAACACGGACTTCCAACCTCCGCTTCACCGATTTCGCTGCTAACTGCTTACCACAAGCTTAGTTCGTGTGTGTTTGTTTGTTCGCTTACTACGTTTCGACGGTTCCCTCACACAGGACGAAACTACAGCCGATTTAATTGTTTCCCAATCAACTCTTTGATTTTTCGGGCGTGTAGTTAACCATGAGCGTTGGAAATGGTGTGACTCTATTGGGCAACGTCACGTGGTTGCATTGGGTTTACAAGAGCTGATTAAGTAGTTTCCAGTGGTAAACTCGGTGCATTTTGGCGCCGCGTTAATGTGACTTATGTATGCATTGAACCGTTTCATGTCGTTTATGTCAACAGCGTAGTCTTTTACCATCTGAACGTGGTATTGAGCAGGAAAAGGTAACACGTGGATAGACCTCACAGACGAGCGAACATCTCGGTGGTATAATTCAACTTGTGTACTGGACTAAACACAAACCAGGCACTGAATTCCAGGTCTGCTGACCAGAAGCAAGGTTAGTTGCCGGTTGTTCAATCTCCATGACTGTT